GGATCCATGGAGCCTGCAGGGCCCCTGAAGAACCAGAACTATCCCTCTGGGTAAGGAAGAAGTCAGAGAGTCCAGAGGAGGCAGGAAGGCTGAGTGGAGGGTGCAATCCTCAAAGACAGAAGGGTCAGGACAAGAAGGAAGAGAACGGAGGGGGATGGGGACAGAGAAGCTAGAATCCAAGGGCCAGAGGGAAGACAGTGATGGGTCTCTCCCCTGGAAATCACTGCTAATCGATAGGTGGCCACAAGGCCAAGCCAAGGGCAGAAGCCTTTGGCCCAGAGCCTGGGCAGGGTGTGAGAGGATCAGAGCCCACAAGCTGGGGAGGGTGTGTGCTGACACCCAGCCGGCTCCTTCTAGTGCTGGCCTCCTGACAGCATCCTTCCCCAGACGGATGGAAGAAGGACGGATGCAGAGCACAAAGAATCCCAGAAGCTAATTTTAGCCTAGTGCGCCCCACCTCCCCTGCTGACAGTGAGCAGAGGCTGGAGGGTGGGAGTTCGCACCCCTGCCTGGGCTCCCGCTTTAATAGAAGTGCCACAGGCAGGGTCTACCCCCAAACCACAACCATGGATGTCAGACTGACCTTACAGCCCACCCAAGGACAGGCTCTGGGGGCTGCTGAGGATGGTGAGGCTGGGGTCATAGGTTGTGTGAGTCCCTGTCTCGACTCTGGTTGACATCAGCAAGTCCTTCTTCTACCTCAGTCAGCTCACCCACGACACAGGGATAATAATAACACCATCTCAGGCAAAGTGTGTTATGTCCCGGACCCCAACAGCTCAGAGCTGTCTTCATTTCTGTCACTACTGCGTACTTCAGAGGACGGCAAACAGATCTGTGGCTCAAGACTTGGCGCTCAGTATTTTTTTGATGGGGCACAAAAGCGAGGCAAACAGCCCGATCCTGCCAGAATCCAAGCCCTGAGAACAAATGATTAACACAACTGATTAATTTGAGGCATCACTATGACTGGCCTTCTAGGGAGTTTGGAGGAGGAGAGCAGAGAGGAAGCCACGGGCTGGAGAACTGGAGGACCAGAGGAGCAATCCTCCATGGGCAGGCAAAGACATGGAGGCTCAGAGAAGGATGACGCCTCTCTCAAAGAAGCCCAGCACTATGGCAGAGGTAGAAATCAAATCCTGGAAACACAAGCCCTACACCAGCCCTGCCTCCCACAGTGACCAGGTCCTGTGACCAGATTTCCTGGCCTCACTAGGGAAGCCAAAGGTTGTCCCGTACCAGCTCTAGCTGGGCAGAGACTCCTCCCAGTCAGCAGCTGCCCCACTTACAGGCTGGGCTGGTCCTCAGGTGACTCTCCGTGCACACACACACACACACACACACACACACACACACACACACACGCCTAATGGAGGCCATACAGGGCTTGGGGAGGGGCTTGGGCCTGATTACCCACAAGACCTTCCTTGTTTCCAGTGCCTTCTGTCCTGAGCAGGTAGTCGAGGTGCTCTAGATAGAAATTCTCAAGAACATGGACTGACTCTAAAGCCCTCCCGGGGGGTTCCTGTGTGCTAGAAATACATTCTCACAGAGTAGGAGCAGCTGAAAGGGAACCTGTTCCTTTAATTGTCTTCTGGGGTGGAGCCACCCCCTGATATAGAAAGGGTTCTTCTGAAGGTCCCTGTTCCTTGCTTACCTCTACCAGACAAACTACAGAGGCCCTTGCTGGCACTCGGGACATCACCCACGCCTCCACCTCATTTACAAGAGTTTCTCTCCCATATCTGCACCTCGTTCCCATCCTAGTAGCCCTCAGATGGGCCCAGAGAGCTCAGGAATGGGGTATAAAGGAAAAAGGAGAGAGATGAACAGCCAGGGCTAGAACTGACTCCACCCCAACCCCCCTCTTAGCTGTGTGGGCCTGGTGAGTCCTGAGAACTAAGGTAACAAAATGAGGTGGGCCGGGCTCAGACGGCAGGCTGCCAACAGACCTTTCCTGAACATGGGCCTATTACTCCTTGACTCTTCAAGTGTAGCAATTCCTTCACTAAGAAGTGGCAATCACTGGGCTTGCCCAGTGATTGAGAGCACTTATTCTTGCAAAGAACCCAGGTTTGATTCCTTACATCCACATAGCAACTAAAAATAAAATGAAATAAATCTGTAACTCCAGTTCCAGAGTGACAATGTTTTCTTCTGACCTCCGTGGGCACCAGGCATGTATGCAGTGCACAGACACGCATGCAGGCAAGACACCCATATACTTCTCTTTTTAAAGGAATTTTGGTATTCTGGGCAACCTGGATTCTGGATCCAGCTCTTGTCACCATATGTGTCTGTGTGATGCCACTTGAGGGAAGTGGTCTTCCTCTCTGGGCCCTCAGGACTAAAACAGAGCAGTTAGCCAGTGGTCAGAAGCAGAAAGCCTGAGGTATTTGGTGTCAGTGGCAGACATGAACAATCGATCCTAGCACTGCCGCCTACTGAATCCAACTAGCTCCCAGCCTCAGAATCTCCACACAGCTAACGCAAGAAAACTGTCACAAGAGAGAGTAAATTCTTCAGCCTGGATGTCATAGTTGTCTGGTTCCAGGTTTTAGCTGGGTGATCTTGGGTCTCAGTTTCCTCTTTTGTAAAATGACCACACTTAGCAAGAGCATGTGGGTTAAATGAGACAATAGAATTTAAATCAGCTTCCAGTAGAACTGTTGAGCTCTCTGCAGGAGGTACCTATGTGAGGTCCTGGATTCATTGGTGCTGGTTGCCTGCTGGGGAGGAGCTGAGAGCAGGGTGAGATAGCAGCAAGTTCCATGTACCCTGATGGCCCTGGGCACACTGGTGTTTCTGGTGATTGTCCCAAGCAAACGAATGGGCCCAAAGAAAGTCATGAAGATGGTGAAAGTGTAGATTCTGAGGCAATGTGGGAGTGGAGAATCCCTGGACCCTAGAGCACGGCTCCTCTCTCTGTCCTCCCCAACCTAGGATCTGCCAGGAGCCTTCCTCCTGCCCTTGACCTCCAGCCCCCAGCCTGCCGCCTCTTCCCTTGCTCACAGAACCTGGTAGAGCCCGCCTGGAGCCCCACAGGCTGCCTCTTCTGCCCTTTCTGAAGCACCAAGCACAGCCAGTTCCTTTTCTCACTCACAGGACATCATGGGGCTTCGTGCACTTCACAGGCCTCCCGGCTTGGAGAGCAGAGCGTTCCTTTGGGACAGAGCTGAAGCAAAGCCATTTCCTTCTGCTCACCTGGCCCTAGCCAAACGGCTGCTGTGTATATCGGCTTCTACGGTGGCCTGCTTGCCTCCGCCTCTGCTTGCAGCAGCACCTTGCTGCTCATGACCACACAGCAGAGGAGCTCAGAGCTGCCTCCCAGATGCCATCAACTCTGTATGTGGCCTTCCCCTGCTTCAGACATCTTCCTATCTTGTCTCTTGGTGCATTCCTGCTCCAAGACCCAACCCAGCCCAACTGCCCCCTCTTCAGGGGAGCTGCTCTTCTCCCCCTTTAAGGTCAGTCTGGCAGGTCAGTCTGTCTCATTGGCTGGTGCTGAGAAAGAATGCTATGAGGATGGAGAAGGCAGACAGGTGGGGCAGAGAGGAGAGCCAGCCCTGGGAGGGAGCCTGGGCTCGTCAGGCTGACACTCAAGGGAGGTCCCAGCAGCCCTTAGACACAGAACTCAACTTGCTTATTACAAAATAGCCTTTATTGATAAAATAGCTCAGAGTCTTAGAAATACCTGCATGTCAAAACAGGGAGGCTTGGGTCCCACAGCATACGCAGACTAGATCAGCCAGCAGATGGTTACAAGTCAGCCCCTCAGCTACACCCCATATCAATGTCCTGGCCTCACAACTGGACAGTTGTTCTCTCCAGTAGGGATTCTATTTGGTACCCACCATTGTCTCTACCAGAGAAAACTCCTTGAGTACCTTCCAAATCAGAGACATCTATCTTGGGCTAATAGGCTGTGTGGCTCAAACCACCCCTCCCTGAGGCTAAGAGTTCTATTGCCCAAAGCAGAAGCCAGGCTGCCCACGGAGGCAGAGCAGTCCCTTCCCTTGTAGATAGATGCCCAGTCACTCTGAAAAGACAGTCAGGAGGTAGTGGCACCCCAGGTCTTGCCCATTTCACTGTGAGGGTTCTAAACAGCCAGCAAGGCATCTTTCTGGGTTGGGGTGGAATTAGTTAGGCCTCCAAAGGCTCCACACGGGGTGGGCACACAGAGTCATCTGGACCCTGGAGCAGGTGGCTCTTCCAGAGTCAGCAGGGCCCTTGGCTGCCTGCTCTGGCCCCAGCACCCCACCTGAGGATCTCTCCTCAGACTGTTTCCTTGATGTGAATATTTTTAGCTTAGGGAAACGATTTGCCTGCTGGATGACAAAGGACTTATCCCCTAATGGGGTTGGGGCCAAGCCACTGCAGGCTCTGTTGGTGTTACAGGTAACAGATGGAGAAGCTGTCACCGGCATAATAACTCAAACCTTTTCGGGTACAAGAATGCGTTCTCAAAGAAATTCTGGAATCTGAAAGTGACTCGGGCACCTCAACCCACTTCCAGTTTGGGGCAGGAATGCACACACCCCAAGTGCAGAACAAAGGTCTACAGGAAGGCTCCTGGCGGTAAACACATAGAAGGGGATTTTTATATCACCGGATAATCACATTCGCTGGCTCTCTAGCTCTTTCCCCCATGGAGCTCAAAGCGCTCTGCAAAACCTTTCATCTCCCTGCTGCAAGTAGGCGGCAAGCAATTGTCGCCCTGCTCTTTGCAAGGGTGAATGCCAGCGATCGGAGCTCCTATTGAGGCCAGGCCAGGCTCCCAGACCTCCCCAATGAGACAGCCTCATGCCACTTGCCTCTCAGAGGGATGCTGGATGAGAAAGCCAATCCAAGGTTTTAGCCTTAAAGGAACCACAAATCTAAAAGAACAATACTAGCCCATAGCCCCTATCCCAGTAGCCAATGGGAATCCCAGGTGCTCTATGTCACCTTCATGTCATCCCCTTTCTCAGCAGCAAGTCCTCCTGGGAAATGTAGAAGACTGGCTTCCTGCTCTTTGAGAGGCATGGGGAAGAATCAAGGCTGGGGATGTAACTCAATTGGTTGACGGCTTGCCTAGCATGCTCAAAGCCCTGAATTAATTCCCCCAGCATCTCATAAACCAGACACCTGTAATCCTAGCACGAGGAAGGAGAGGGCAGGAGAATGGAATTTCAAGATCCTCCTCAGGCTACATTGCAAGTCAGGATGACCTGGGCTACATTCAAGACCCCCCTCTCAAAATATAAAACAAAACAAAACCCCCACATCCAAGAAAAACAAAACACCACAAGTGAGTGGCCTGCCAAGGCACAGGGTCTCCAAGAAAGGGAAGCCTGACCTGTTGGCTTACAGGTAGCTGGGGGCAGGGGTGGGGGGAGGTACTCCAATCCAGTCTGGCCTTGGCTACATTCCAGAAGATCCAAGCTACCCTTGCTCAGGGAAGTAGAGAAGAGCTACCCCACAGTACAGACAACAAGGGAAGGTTTCAAATGGGCCCCTGGGAACGGCACTTTTGTCCTTTCCCCTTTGGGGGGGTGGGGGTCTGAGGATGAGGTCTGCAGGTGGGCCCCAGGGAAATGGCCACATAGGTGGGGAGGACAACCATCAGGTGGTCCTGGCACCAACCCGGGCAGAGGCAGCGAGCTGGCAGGCTCACCAGGCAGTCTGGGTCCACTGCCGGCAAAGGATCCTTCGAAAGGCACGACGGAAGTCCTGGTTGAAGATGGTGTAGATAACAGGGTTCAGGGAGCTGTTGCAGTAGCCGATCCAGAAGAAGAACTGGAAGAGGCCATGCGGTACCTTGCAGCGCTGTGGGCAGATGGCCCCCAGGCTGTAGCTGAAGAAGAAGGGAAACCAGCAGACAACAAAAACGCCAATGACCACTGCCAGCACAAAGGTGAACCTCTTCTCCCGGCTCAGCTGTGCCCGGCGTCGCCACCACTGCCCACTGGCAGCACCCACAGTCCTGCCCAGAAGCACCTGGCCACGGAGTGTGGCCAATACCCGGGAAGCCTGAGGCTGCTGCAAGGGTGGGCTGCATACCGAGGCAGGAGATGCTGGCAGTGTTTGGGGTTCGCACTCTTCCACCTCCTCTTCATCCTCCTCTTCAACTGCCTCCTCTGCCGTTGCCCCACCAATGCCCTCCTTCTGACCCTGGCCTGATCTGGGAAGGGCAGACCAGCTGGGTGGCAAAGACCTGGACTCAGGATCTTCAGGGGTCTCCCCCTCCTCCTCCCTTGGAGGTTTGGGGTGTCCATTGGCCTCACCCACAGAAGACAGAGGAGAGGCTAGGGTTGGCACCTTAGCTGAGGTTGGAGCTCCCCCAGCGACAGGATGGGGCTGTTTGGACTCCCCCTCCCCAGAGCCCCTCTTGGCCCTGAGACCTCGGCAGTGGCTGCGTTTGGCAATTACATAGATTCGCAGGTAGACGAGGATCATGATGAGGCAGGGAGCAAAGAACGATCCGATGCTGGAAGCCAAGATGTACCAGGCCTCTTGGTTGAGCTCACACTGGGGGAGTCCGTGAGGCTCCGGGCGCTGATCGCCCTTGTAGATGAGGGGCGGCAGAGAAATGACGGCTGCAATGAGCCACACCGTGAGGATGATGCATTTGATGCGGCGCGGGGTGCGCTTGGAGTTGTACTCCAGTGCTCGGCTCACTGCCCAGTATCGGTCCAGACTGATGGCACACAGGTGCACGATGGAGGAGGTACAGAAGAGCACATCCAGCGCCAGGTAGACCTCGCACCATGTGCGCCAGAAGTACCAGTAGCCTAGCAGCTCGTTGGCCAGAGAGAAAGGGATGATAAGGGTGGCCACTAGGATGTCCGCGGCTGCCAATGACACCAGAAACAGGTTTTGTGGTGCACGGAGTGAGCGGCTGGTCAACACAGCCAGAATGACCAGTGCGTTGCCGAAAATGGTGAACAGGATGAGGAAGGTGATGGCTGACGCGATGGCGGCGGTGGCTTGCACCGAGTAGGGCTCTTGGTGGTCCATGGCGAGGCCGGACACGTCCAGAGGGATCGCTGCTGGCCAAACCCACGGTCCCCAGGAGACAGCGCCACTCTGGCTCCGCTACAGGAGGGGGTTGTCCCCCCGGCAGTGCGGATGGCTCTGGAGCCCCATAACCTGACCGAAAGGGGCCTAGGAGGTCCGGAGACATCCAGGACCAGCCATCTATCTCCTACATCCTCTTCCACCGATGCCCGGCGTCCCTGCAATCCGCCCCAGAGAAGTTTTCCAAGTTGTCCCACTACGGTCCCGGGACCGGAGGAAAGTCGCGCCTTCGCGCGGTACAACTGCAGGACGCACAGAGCCGACTATGGAAGCGCAGCCGGTGCTCGGAAAAGGCGCTCTGTCTCCCGGTGCCGCGCCTGCAGTCAGCCCGCCGCGCAGGGGCGTGGGGAGGAGAGCCAGCACGGCGGGGAGGAGGGAGGAGACTGGGGGCGGGAGCTGGAGGAGGGAAGAAGGCGGGGCGGGAGATCCGACGGAGGGTGGATGGAAGGTGCGCTTTGTGGAGAAGTGGCCCTGCGACACTCACCCTTTACTCACCCGGTCCCCAACTCCTGTCTCCTCTCCACCGCCGCAGGCCAAGTCCGGAAGCCAGGTGTTTGGGGTCTTGGAGGTTCTGGGAAGGATACTTATAGAAGAGGATCGGTGCATGCTGGGAGCTGAGACCTTGGTCAGTCCCAAGAGTCCATTTGCCTTCTGTCTGCGTGTCTGGTACAGAGCACCCAGATCGGTGGTGGTAGGCGAGAGCGCTCATGTCGCCTGCAGCAGCTCAACAGCTCAGAGAAGCGTGCAAGGGAGTGTTGGTGTACTCAGGCATAATAAGTCACATCTCCATTTAGCAACTGAGCCACATCCCAGCAATTGAGAACCTTAGGAGCCGGACCGGAGCGAGGAGAGAGTTCCGAACTCCCTTTTCCAATGCTTCCCCACTCAGAGGCCGCTCGGTCGGACTGGCGAGGTGCAAGGAGTGCGTCTCTGTGTTGCGAGCGCCCTCTGCTGCTGTCTGAGTGCAGAGACTAGGGACAGGCGTCCTCCCAGGTCCCAGAGACACTAAAAAAGCTAACTCCTTGTGGGAAGTGATGGGTGGACTGCAACCGCCATTACTGCCTCAGTTTCCCCCAACTAAAGACAAAGGAACTAAAGGGGATCTGGAGAGATGGCTCAGTGGTTAAGATTGCCTCTTGCAAAGAACTTGAGTTCGGTTCCAGCAACCACAAAAGGCTCAAAACTGACTTCAGCTCCAAGGGATTACATGCCTCTGGCCCCCACCAGTACCTGCACTCACGTTGCACATACCCACACAGAGACCCACACTTTAAAATAAATCTTAAACAGGGAAAGCGGTAGAGGCAGGCGTTGGTGGTGCAGGCAGAGGCAGGAGTTCAAGGCCAGCTGGTCTACAGGGTGAGTTCCAGGACAGCTAGGGCTACACAGGGAAACCATGTATGAAAAAAAAAAGAGGGAAAACGTCTTAGACTCAAAGAAAAGGTGTAGGTTTGGAGAGGAGTCTCTTGACCAATGGAAGATGAGGAGACTTAGGGATAAGACCTTTCCTCTCCAAAACTCAGAAAAAGCTGATGCTGGTGGCTATGATGTAGGAAGGAACTAGCCTTGACTGCTCCAGACACTCGTGCAGCCTCTCTAGAGTGACAGTGGGAAGAGAACTAGGGTAAGAAAAAACTCTGAGGGCTAGCGACAGAGAGTTAATTCAGCACTTGTTACTCTTGCAGAGGGCAGCTTTTAGCTCCAAGCACGTCAGCTCATAACTGCCGGTAGTTCTAGATCCAGGGTATCAGACAGCCTCACCTGACCTGCGTACATGCACAGGCACACACACGATGCATATAAATACACGCAGGCAAAAACACTCAAACACATAAGAATTAAAAAAAAAAAAGACCAACTTTGAACTAGGTCCTCCCCAGCCCCTAGCCTCAAGGGGGTTTCTCCAAGGCCTTGTAATTCCCTTGTGTGGAAAGAGCAGCCAGGCTTTGTATTTACAGCTCTCCATCCTGAAGGGCACTATATGAATGTATATAAATCAATCCCTGAAAGTGGAGTCTGTAAGGCTACCAAGTAACAAGCCATGCTGGGCACTTCCTGACCAGTCAGGCTTCAGCCCAAGATGGCCACAACCAGGGAAAGATGCTCTCCCACCCTGCAGCTAGGACGACAGTAGGAGCTTGTCCCCTCACCAGGGAGTTCCCCAGGCTACATGCCACCAATCCTTTCCAGGGCTTTGTTCAGTCAGAGACCCGCTCTTCCTCGGCCCAGCTCACTCTTCAAACTCTGTGTATACTTTCTTTTTTTTTTTTTTGGTTTTTTGAGACAGGGTTTCTCTGTGGCTTTGGAGCCTGTCCTGGAACTAGCTCTTGTAGACCAGGCTGGTCTCGAACTCACAGAGATCCGCCTGCCTCTGCCTCCCAAGTGCTGGGATTAAAGGCATGCCCCACCACCGCCCGGCTCTGTGTATACTTTCACACTCAGCTGTGGTCCAAGAATTTGTGGAATCATACCCCCACCTCCATCAAATAGGCCACTCCTCCTTATTGCTGATACTGGCCATGGCTGTGGGTTGGTGAGGGATGGAGGAAGCCCTGTTGGTGCATAGCAGACACATAAATACGCTCAGGCCTACGGTGCCCCAGAGTGATAGTCTTGGAAGGACAGATTATAGGGGAAAGGGAAAAGGTGATTTTGCATGTAAGTGACATCTTTCTTCAAAGAATGGCCAGATGACTGTACCCAGCTGGCCATGGGAATCTAGGTAGATGGCCAAGTCCCTTTGCTTCCAACCTATTTCCCACAGAGCACCAAGAGTGACTTCTTAAGCCTTAAGTTACATTTTGTTACTCCAGGCTGTTCTTAAAACACGGACCCTGTCTCTGTCTCGTCTATCCCTGCCTGCCTGCCTCACCCTACTTGATATGCTCTCTTCTTCCTGCCCCAAGACCTTTGCACCGGTGGCTCTACTCTAGTTTTTCCATGGGTAACCACAGGCCTGTGCATCCATTCTTATAGGGGCTCATCCCAACCAGCATCCTGCAAGTGTTCCCCAATCCCTGTCATTGATCAGTTCGAGATGCCTACCTATAGGCAAGTTATTATCCACCCTTCTCCCTACCTTGTTCACCAGGGTATCCCTGATGCCCATAACAGAGCCTGTCTGGCACCTAATGGGCATTCTAAGTGACTGTTGGATAAATGAATCCAGTGGTGAGCAGTGCTGCATAGCTGTGTTACTGTGGGGCGTGGCTAACTACTCTGGTTAGCCTCCAGGCTGATGAGCTTCAAGGCCTGGACCAAGGCACTCTGCAAAATAAAAGTGGACCATCCCATTGCTCAGAGCTGGCATGGAGACCGGACTGTCATGGGGACATGCGGCTTCCTGTAGGGAGAATGCAAGAGGACAACTTTGTCCCTGGCCAGCCCCCAAATAGAAGAGCCACCAGTTTCACTCAACCCAATCTTCTAGAGCTGGATTTGGAGATCAAGAGCTACAACTCAGAAAGGCTCGTGATAGCCTTGGGTGGGGTCTCAGAGTCTAGAGTAGATCCTCTGGTCTGGCGGGGCCCCTGGGAACCCTAGCCCAGTGCCATATGCCTGGTTTGGACCCTCAGATGTCTCAAAGCAGCCTTATTTTTGATGCTTCTGTCTGTCATTTCCTACCGGGGCTATTCTATCGGCCCTTCTAATGAACACTGCCAAGGCCCCAATTTACTAACATCAAAGCCAGACACCAACCACCACCTTCTATATCCAAGATCAAGAAAAAGGACAGCATCCCCTGGCATGATCCTGTCCTGGCTGATACCCAGTACTGGTCCTCTGACTCAACCTCAGGAACCAAACTCTGTTCTGAAGCCTAAGCTAGACAGAGGACACAGGCTACAGAGCCCTCATGGCCCCCGAGGCAAGCTCAGCACGTGACTTCTCTAGGAAGATGGCAAAGGCCCACCCTCAGGATACCAAACTGCTTTGTCTCTTCTACCTGTCACCTTGAGCTAGTCCACATGCTTCCAGAAGCCTGATCCTCGAGAGTGAGGTGTGTGACTTCCTGGAAGCTCTCTCATGGGCATTTGAGTGAAAGACTCTTAGGATTTTTTATTGTTTTTTGGCAGCGGGGGGGGGGGGGCAGTTCCAGACAGTGTTTCTCTGTGTAGCCCTGGCCATCTTGGAACTAAGTAGACCAGGCTGGCCTTGAACTCAGAGCCACCTGACTCTGCCTCTGGAGTGCTGGGATTAAAGGTGTGGGCCATCACCGCCCAGCTAAAGACCCTTGTACACAATCAGCAAAACACATTGCATGAAGCAAACACCCGACTTTATTTCTGCCTTCTCCCATGTGGATGGAGGCTCTCTTCCCCACTAGTTCAGAGTTCTAGTTCTCCTCCCATCCCAAGCAGGGCTTCCCTGAACTCCCAACAGACTCCTGGAGAATGAAGGGCTCCTGGCCCAGACCCTAGTACCTGCACACTTTCTTTGTCCCCAGAAGAAACCTCATGGGAGACCAAGAAGGAGGGGGGCATGACTGAAGGACAAGTGGTGTGACATCCCGCCCCAGAGTTTCCTACTGAGCACCCTGTGGGCAAGGCAGCAAAAACAGTGATCTGATGTGGGATTAAGGTTCAAGTCTGCTGTCCAGAGACTGGCATTCTTGCCAAGGCTTCCAACATGCAGATCTGGTAAGGAGTCCCCTCTTGCTGGTCCAGTTTAGCAGGAGAACAAACTGGACACTGCGCCCTGGAGACCAGGGTTGAATCCCAGGGCTTCAGAGCATCCTTAGAGCCAAGCATAATGGACAGGAGGATATTCATGGTCCCCATCACAGGGCTTCCCACTGAGACCATGCCCAAGGCAACACTTGAGTCCATGCTGGGGGCTAATCCTCAGCTGTAGAATTCCCAGAGGCCCTCCAGGAGCTGGAATCTTGCTCATGCCCACCACTCCCTGAATCCTGTATCCATGCCCAGCATCTTCCAGGACTAGGGCTCAAGTCAAGAACAGAC